TATATATAATACGCACACACACACATATATATGTACATACATATGGTTATTGATAGATATTAGGTAGACGGATACACATAATTTAAGTTGATAACCAGTACTGGTGGTCTTCTCCCACGCGAGGAGTCCCAAGGATCGGTGATTACAAGTTGGGAATACTAAGTATTCAGATGATGCTATTGCGTGAGATGTATGAAACGTATATAAATAACAATAATCAAACCTGTATCATCATAAGAGTAACAAAGATGTTAGTTGTTTGCGAGTGCACAATTTCAATTGAAAAACAAAATAACGTATAGGTCAAAAGACAAGGGGGTGCGAGATATAGGCGCTAATTTGTGGAAACAACTGAGTAGAAGATGCCAAAGTAATAGAAACAGTGAAACACAAAGTCTCACGCAAAAGTAATAAACACTGAAACACAAACGCCAACAAGTCTCACGCAAAAGTAATAAACACTGAAACACAAACGCCAACAAGTCTCACGCAAAAGTAATAAACACTGAAACACAAACGCCAACAAGTCTCACGCAAAAGTAATAAACACTGAAATACAAACGCCAACAAGTCTCACCAGGATCACGCGGGGTAGATGGCTCGAATTCGGTATGCGCTTGCGCGCCATTGTAGATCCCAACACAGAAGTAGTTCTGGTCACCGATGGTCTGTACGCTATTGGGCGCCTTTGTTCGGAGAACCGTATAGATGCCACCAACTGGGAATCGCAGGGGAGGAAAGGAAGTATGCCGGTATCGGTATTGGGGTATGTGCCTCATGGGCGAGCATGGACGGAACAAGCAATACATACTCGTATCCAGGAGGTCGTGTTGCGTGTAGTATGAGCGTAGGCAATCGTTCATGCATGCATAAAAGTATGCGTATCATAGAAAGTCCGAATTACAAATACACGTTGGTACGTGATCGTTGGATATACTGCGCGTTTTTAATATGCCAATCCCATGTCGGCAATTAGATTGTACAAATGTGCAATTGTGTATATATATACTAATATATCTCAATATATATATCAAAATATAAATACACACACATACACACACACTCTCTCTCTCACACACACATATATATATATACATATACATATATAACCACACACACACACACACACACACACACACATATATATATATATATGCATATACATACATACACACACACACACATACACACATACACACAGACACATACATATATACGCAGACACACACACACACACACACTATAGTTAGGTACGGAACGGTAAGGTTATACTTACCCTTAACCCGTTTTCGTAC